AGGGAAAAAAAAAAGAATATTAAGCACCACCCGACATGGTAGCCTTCTCCTATAATCCCAGCAATCTGGAAGGCTGAGGGAGGAGGACAGAAATCATGAGACCAGCCTGGGCAACACAGCAAGACCACATATCAAAATAAAAAATGTAAAAAGAGGTATCTTCAGTACCAGAAAATAAAATATATCAAGCAATATATACTAGTGGCACATCCCTATAATCCCAGCATTCAGGAAGCTAAGGCATTTTAAGTTTCAGAAATCTTTTGGGGGTTTTTTGTTTGTTTGTTTGTTTTTGGTACCAGGGATAGAACTCAGGTCCTTGCGTCTGCGAGGCAGGTGGCAGACCACTGAACTAAATCCCTGGCCCAAGTTTCAGAAAGCTTAAGAAAACCAGTAACATTATCCAAGTAAACTAAAATTCAAGTGATATAGCTGATATTTCCAAAATAGCAGAATTCAGCTTCAAAACCTTTTTAATGATTTTTTTTTTTTTGGCCTTCTACAAATATCTGATGAATTCATTTATTTAAGTAGATGTACAATGACTGGAAGCAAAAAAGTAAAAGTTAAAACAATTTTTCTACCTTTAAACTTTGATAAAGACTAAAGATACTGGCCAGGTGTGGTGATGTGTGCCTGTAATCCCAGCACTAGGGAGGCTGAGGCAGGAGGATCACTGTGAGTTCAAGGCCAGCCTGGGCTACAAATTAAGTTCAAGGACAGCTTGAGGCCACAACATGACCTTGTCTCTCAAAAAAAAGACTAAAGATACTGGCACTTGATAAGGTAGAACAATAACATATTCTTGAACATTTCTAATGAGCATTCCTCTATTTTAACCTTTCTACAAAGATATTTGATAACAGTTTCCAAGTTTTAACTGATGGACAGTTTTTTATTCAGCAACTCTACATTTAGGCTTTTATTCAAATAAAATAATCTGATAATTATCCAGACATTTATCCACAGACAAGAGTTAACAGAATGAGGGAGGGAGGAGACAGTCCCAAAACATATCATTTAGAACATTATCCAGCACATCCATAAAGGAAGCTCTATGCAGATAGTTATACAAATACACAAAGAGGTGCTTGGTGTAAATAAAGATCAGTGAACAGTGTATAATTAAATATTTTTTAAAGTTCAAATAGGTGCTTCTGTGTATGTGCTAAAGAAAGTAATAGTAGTTATCTAATAAAGACTTAATTTCACTTAATGTTTATATCTTTCTGCACTGCTTTTCTAATTAAAGCTATAGTTCATTTTTTCCAGATTAAAAAAAATTCCACAGTATAACTCAATTAATTTTTAAAAACCCTCAATTAAGTTCACTAATATGAATGCTGTGTATTACATAATTATTTAAGATAGAATCTTATTCTTATACGATCTTATAGCAAAAAATTCCAAAGGTTCTAGAAAAACTACACAAACTACAGTTGGCAAAATGTGTATACGCGTGTAAGTGTGTGTGTAATGTACATCTTTATAGAGCCAGACCTAAAGGTGTTTTATCATTCCAAAGTAGCCAGCTTTCTATGCAAAACATTTGAAAAAGAGAAACACCTCATCCCATTTTATTCAACAAAGGATATACCTCCAGCAAACAGCTTGTGAACTCTACACAAACGAATAACAATCCATTTATGGAGAGGAATTAGGGTATGAAACCTGTAAGGAGGCAGTTGGTCTATACCATCATAAACATGAAAGAGATTATTGCATTTTGCACAACATTCTTCAAATGCATGTATGCAGTATTTCAAAGTAAACCAGATAATTACAAAAAATATCCAAAAGATCTTCTGGCAACTTTTATCATCCACATTTTACTACTTGTAAACGATGTCTAAAGAAATCCTAAAAGGATTTCACATTTTAGTAACCAGAAAAGCAGCTTTGAAGGCTAGCTTGTTCAAAATTACACACCTTTGTGACAAGAACTACCAAAAAAATTTAGTAAAACCAAGCTAAGTATATTAATGCCAGGGACTAATACTTCTATTTTGTCACCCAAACAAAATATCATAAAACAAAAGCTTCACAGGGCCAGGGATTTAGCTCAGTGACTCCGCACCTGTCTTGCAAGTGCAAGGTCCTAAGTTTGAGCCCTGGTACCAAAAAAAAAAAAACGTTTCGGTAATGATGATCATGTTAAATATTTTCCTTTGAGACAGCTAACCTTTAACTTGTTCACAATAGGGCCATAATTTATATGTCTTGCTGCTGGGTGGCTTGAACCACCAGAGAGGTACAGCATGACTGCCCATCAGGCAGCTAGCTTTTAATTTTCTTAATAAAAGTGATTGAAACCGTTTACACCACCAGTGGTACAAGCTACCAGATAGGACAGTTATGCATGTACCACCAGTGATTCAAACTGGTGGGAACATGTTAAGGAGAAAAATTCATCCTTAAAAATAGGACAAGTGGGCCAGAGATTTAGCTTAGTGGCACCAGGCCTGCCCAGCAAGTGCAAAGTCCTGAGTTTAATCCCTTGCACAAAAATAAACAAACAGGACAAGAGCCAGGCACAGTGTTGCATGCCTGTAATCTTAGATAGGAGGCTGAGGCAGGAGGATCACAAATTCCAAGTGAGCCTTAGTACAATTCTGTCTCAAAATATAAAAAGTGCTAAAGATATAGCTCAGCACTTCCAGTACCATGGGGCAGGGGAGGGTGTCAAGAACATCCTACTTAACACCTTTTCAAGCTAGGAATCTTGTTTCAGAAGATCATGTTATATAATAGGGTTAGCCAAGAGAACAAGATGTTTGCCTCAATGACTTAGGAAACACTCTTGCTCCTAGCAACCCCATAGTGTTTATACTGTCACCCTGACCAATTAACTGCAGTAGTCAAGGGAAAAGTTACTACACCTGGTTTGCCCTAAAAGCTGCAGACAGCAACCAAGACAGAAACGAAGACAGTGGACAAAAGACTGATGCAGGAGGATCGTTAAGTCTGAAGACAGTGTGAGCTACACAGTGAGATGAGTCCGTGTCTCAAAAAAATAGAAGAAAAAAGAAAAGGATGCCTCATAGAATATCTTAAGTAAACAGAAATTCAAAAGGACTTTAATCTCTGTTTCTCCATTACTCTCAGCCCTCACCTTCAAACAAGCACACTTTTTAAAGGCTAGCCTGGAATATATAGCAAGAACTGTCTCAAAATATAAATAAAGAGAATGTATGATATGCAATTTCTAAAGAGAAATGGATTAGGCTAAATCCATTTCACAAATGGATATGGCTTTAGATGTACCCTTCTTAGAATCAAAAAGATAAGCATTACTATGCCTGTACATTCACCAAACTTTTTTTTTTTTTTGTACCAGGGATCGAACTTGGGTCCTTGCGCTTGCGAGGCAGGCAGCAGAACCACTGAGCTAAATCCCCGGCCCTCATTCACCAAACTTTAAGGTTAAAAACAAAAGGCTGCCAGGTATGGTGGTGCACCTGTAATCCTAGCACTCAGGAGACTGATGCAGGATGATCACCATGAATTCAAGCCCACCCTGGGCTACACAGTGCATTCAAGGCCACCCTGGGCTACATAGTGAGACCCTGTCTCAAAAATCTGAATGAAAGCATGCATACATACATTCCTGCATACAAATAAAAAACAAAAGGCTGAGGCTAGACACAGTGTTGCAAGTCTGTAACTCAGCACTATGGCAGGCTCAGGTAGGTGGACTAGAAGTTTGAGGCCAGTGTGGGCTATGCAGTGAGTTCAAGGCTGGCCTGAACTATTGTAGTATGACTGTCTGGAAAAGAACAAATAAAAAAGACAAAAACTTATTTTACTGCTGTTTGTGTGTGTTGATGTGTCTATGTTGAGCTGTCAAGAGAATGTATCCATAAAATAGTCACACATCAACACAGAGAAAATCTTGGTTGTCTGTTAGAGGTGTAACGATATTTAAGACCCAACTGAAAGGAAGAAACATGATCAGGATGGAGCCAAAAGTTTTTCAGGTGGTGAAATGTCCACAGGCCCAGACAGTTTCAGAAACTGTAAGGCTAGAATGCATCAGCAAATTCTCTTTCAAGTATTCAGTCATTTCAAGTTAGTGTTCTTGTGCTTGCTTTGGCAGCACAGTGCCTACTTCAGCAACACATATACAAGTTTGTATTCTTACTTAAAACAAATACAAGATAGAATCCCAAATCACCTGTACTCCTACTCCCATCCAAAGAGAAGCTCAAAATATATGAAACTGGAGACAAATCTTAGCATTACAAATCAATTAATAATACTTACTGTGTCTGAATTCCCTTCCAGCAATATATTAATAGCTTTGTTGACATCTCCATTACAGTCATGTAGGGCCACTATGCATTCATCCTGATTTTTCCCCGTCACTTCCATAAGCTATTCAAAGAATTGTCAAATGGTTAGGGAGAGCCAAAAAAGGACACTTAATTTTGAGATTTCTCTGTTTAAATACAGCAATTTACTAAAAACCAGTCTCAAAAACAAAAATGTAAAAAAAAAAAAAAGCTGAGAAAGTGGCTTAGTGCTAAAGCCCTGGATTCAATGGAGGATGGGGCACAACACAATACAGTGCATACAAAGTTAAAACCCAAAGTTTACAAGTAGAATTTTGTACTCCTGGATATGCTATTTTCTCAAAAAGCTTTAGCACGGTACTGTGTATAAAGTGACCACAGCTCAGTCCATTCTCTTTAGTAGGGGAGAGTAATTATTTAGCAATTCCTTCATTAAAACAGTCATAGATAGCTAGGCATGTTGGTGCAGGCCTGTAATCCCAGCACTCAGGAAGCAGAGGCAGGTGAACTGCTGTGAGTTCTAGACCAGCCTGGCTACACAGGGAGTTCCAGGTCAGTCTCAACTACACAGTGAGGCCCTATCACCAAAAAAAAAAAAAAAAAAAAAAAAAAAAAGGCTGGGGATTTAGCTAAGCGGTTCTGTGGCCTGCCTTGCAAGCACAAGGACCCGAGTTCAATCCCTGGTACCAAAAAAAAAAGAAAAAAGAAACAGTCATGGATGAGGCAAAAGTTTCTCAAGTATCAGTGCACAAATTCATGATTCTATTGTATTTTCATTACATTTCTTTTATTATGTACTAGTTAGCTAAAGTTTAAAACAACTTGACCCTAACATTCAAGAGATTTGTCTATGATCACAAAGCTAACTGATAAAAAAGACTGTCTAAAATGAAGGCCTCTTTTTAGACTACAGGACTGAGCCTCCATTTTCCTCTCCTCATTTTACCTCACAGAAAAAATTCTACCTACTCTATAGCTTTCCAGTGCTTTTGTGTTTGGATATCTACTAATAATACATAAATAATCCGAAAAATAAGAACCAAGATGGATTATGTAAAGGTGCAAATTTCCAATGACGAATGTCATTACATTGTATATCTTAAATGTACCAATAAAATTAATCTTGGGGGGCTGGGGATTTAGCTCAGTGGTTCCAGCACCTGCCCCACAAGCACAAGGGCCTGAGTTCAATCCCCAGTACCCCCCAAAAAATAATTTTTTAAAAAATAAAAAATAAATATATAAATAATCCATACTGCTTGCCACATGGAATTATTAAAATGACCAGTCAGCAAGAATATTTGCCCAGTTACTGGATAAGAAAAACCAATAGTCAGAACTTCATTCTGCAACTCTACACCAAAACAAATGTACAAAAGAATTCCAGACCAATGATCCATTTTGTATACTGCTATACTGCTATGCTATTCAGATAAGAAGCAATATATAAAGAACAAGCCTGGTCTCAAGCTGTTCCTGGGTCTCATTCCAGAGAATGAGTGAAGGGAAGGGACAAGGTCTCACTTGGTTATCCAAGCTGGTCTCAAATTCCTAGGCAGAAACAATAATCTTATCTTAAGCAAGTAGCTAGGACTACGCATATGCTACTATAAGCAGCTATGACTGTAATAAATTGTTTTTAGGGTCAAGGACTTAGCTCAGTGGCACTGCAACTGCCTCACAAGCACAAGGTCCCGAGTTTGAGCCCCAGCACCACATACATACATACATACATACATACATAAAGTTTCTATGACCTTTGAAGAAAATTACTATTAGTATATGGTTAACAACTATGAGAACAAAGAATCTACATAGTAAAGTAGTATACCATGGGACATCTGATCCAAAGAACAACTATTAGAAGACAACTACTGAGGAAGGGGCATAGCTTGCTTTCTTGAAATTAGTAAAGAAGCATATGAAATTAAGATTAATTTGTCAAAAAGACCTCTCATTAAAGTTTTAAATGAAGATAGTACAATTTGACTTTATACTTTTCCAAGTTTGAAATCACATTCATATAAGAAAAGGCAATCCAGTTCTTCCCTAATTTCCCAATGTACCAAATGTTATATATTTTGTATATAAAGTATAAGTGTGTTTTCACAAATGTGAAACCTAGTGTTTACAAATAAATACACATTAGTAACTCAAAGATTCTATTGTCAAGAGGACGAACATACTCCCTCACCTGGCTGCCAATCAAAGCATTTAGACATGAGTACAAAATATAGCACAGAGGACTAAGTGTCGTGGAGCACATCTATAATCCCAGCACTCGGGAAGCTGAGGCAGAAGGATCACTGTGAGACTGAGGCCACTATGGGCTACACAGTGAGTTCAAGGCCAGCCTGAACTACACAGCAAGTCCCTATCTCAAAGAAAAATTTTTTAATTAAAAATCTAGCAGAGGGGGCTGGGGATTTGGCTCAGTGGTTCCACCACCTGCCTCACAAGCACAAGATCCCAAGTATCCCACAAAAATCTAGCAGAGATATGAGTTGAAAGTAAGCAAGAAACATACTTCAAAACTAAAATCTCTAATGAAATTATTTTAAGCAAAATAAAAATAAAATACAAAAATCATGGTATCCTTTGCCAGAAACATACCTGTTTAACTTTAGCTTCAAAATCAGAATCATTCTTATCAAAGATCACTTGAGCAAGACGCATCTGTTCAGCTGTGGCCTGGAAAACACATATAAGTAGTAAAGATTTGAGCAACAAAAATGTTAGATACTAAACTCTGGGTCAAGTAGACAAAGCACTCAAGCAATAAGCAGTATATAATAGAAATAGTGATTAACTTAAAAAAAAAAAAAGATCCTGAATTTAGGTCTTTCAGCTGCATACAACCTGTTCAATAAGATAAGTAAGCATTTAGTTAAACAGGAGAAAGGATCCAGTCCTTTGACTAAATGACCAAAAGTTCTCTTTCATCTTCACTGATCATGAAGCTTATTTGGATTGTCTTTCCCTAGAAGAAAGGGTAGGGGAAACCAGCACAAGATAAAACAGAAAAATATCAATGGAGCTAGCCACAGTGGTACATTCCTGTAATCCCAGCTACTTGGGAGGCTAAAACAGGAGAAGCACAAGTTTTAAGCCAGCCTGGACAACTTATCAAGACTCTGTCCCAAAATCTAACCAAAAAGTAAATTTTCTTTTTTAAAAAAGCTGAGAGCTCCCAGCACTCAGGAGGCTGAGACAGGAGAATCGCTGCAAGTTCGAGACTAGCCTGGGCTACATAGTGAGTTCCAGGGCAATCTAAACTACAGGCCCTGTTTCAATACAATAAAAAAAAAAAAAAAAAAAAAAAAAATTATATGAATACTATGTTTTCTTTTATTTAATTTTTTGAATTGTTGTAATTTTTACAAAAACACCTGTCATGGAAACAATTGCCCAGATGCAAGCTTGCAACGAGCCCTGGTATCCAAAAAAGTCTGCAGGTGGGGATTTAGCTAAGTGGCACAGTGCCTACCTCACAAGCAGAAATCCTGACTTCAATTCCCAGTACAAAAAAAAAAAGTTCTACTGTCCAATCTAAAAAGGTAATCTGATCAGTTCTGACCAAAAGAGGCTATATTTAGCTGAAAAGAAAATATGTTTTTAATTGCTTTTGTAAACAGTTTCACACTTTTTTTTTTTTTTTTTTTTTACCGGGGATCAAACTTGGGACCTTGAGCTTATGAGGAAGGCATCAGAATCACTGAGCTAAATCCCCAGCCCAATTTCAGACATTTTTAATTTTAAAAAATTTTAAGCACTAAAATTAATCACCACTACAGAAAATGCTCTTCCAATTATTTTCTTCATTCAAAATCTATTTTGTTTTGGGGTGGTTTTTTTTGTTTGTTTTTTTTTTTTTTTTGTTTTTTGAGACAGGGTCTCACTATGTAGTTGAGACTGAGACTGACCTGGAACTCACGATGTAGCCCAGGCTGGTTTTGAAATCACAGGATCCTCCTGCCTCAGCCTCCCGAGTGCTGGGATTACAGGCCTGCGCCACCACGCCCTTCTTCAAAATCTATTTTGTTTTTGTAAATCAAATTACTAGCTAGGCATAGTGTTATGTATCTGCAATCTCAGCACTCAGGAGGCTCAGGCAGGAGGATCAAGAATGGTAGGCCAGCCAGGCATGGTGGTGCACACCTATAAACCCAGCACTCGGAGGAAGATCACTGTGAGTTCAAGACCAGCCTGGGCTACATAATAAATTCCAGGTCATCTGGGCCTGGTGGTGCATGCCTATAATCCCAGCACTTGGGAGGCTGAGGCAGGAGGATCACTGTGAGTTTGAGAACAGCCTGGGCTACACAGTGAGTTCCAGGTCAGATTCAACTACATCATGAGTCCCTATCTCAAAACAACAACAACAACAACAACAAACAAAAAGTTCCAGGTCAGTCTCACCTACATAGTGAGACCGTCTCAAAAAAAGGTAGGCCAGCCTGGGTTAGGCCTGAACTACAGAGTAAAACCCTGTCTCAAAACAAAACTTTTAACTTAAAATTACTGAATTGTTAAGGTTTCTTTCTGTGATATTTTAATTTAAAAACTATTATTGCTCTTTCACTCAATGACTTAATAACAATATATCTATTTGGTATCTTAGTTTTGACAAAGATACCATGACTACAATGAAAGGGAAATTAAGTGAGGGGTATACATGAACTCCTTGTCCTAACTCCATACAATTTTCTAGTGAGTCTAAAATTACTTAAAATAATTCATTTTTTTGGCCAGGCATGGCGGTACACACCTGCAATCCCAGCACTCTGGGAGCCTGTAAGCAAAGAGGATCATAAATTGGAGGACTTGAAAATAAAAAGGGGGATGGGGATGTAGCTAACTGTGAAAGCCCTGGGTTCAGTCCTCAGTACAGCAAAATTTCATTCATTCATTCATTAAAAGTTTATTAGCCGGGTGTGGTGGCACACACCTGTAGTCCCACCCCTTGAGAGGCTGAGGGAGGAGGACTGCTGGGAATTCAGGGCCAGCCTGAACTACATTTTTAAAAGTTTCTTTTTAAAATTACCCTTCTTAACTAAAGTCTTTATTAACTGCTAACACAAATGTATCTAAAACTCTAAACAGCTCACTGAATGATTTTTGAAGCAAAAATGCCACACACCACAAGGAACAAATGAATACCTTTTCTTCTTGGATTTTAATATATACTGAGCTAATTTCAAGTAATCTCACAAAGTGAGGGGAGAGTTGTTGGCACTTTTTGCAATGTATTACACTTTTCACGAGAACTTTCCAGCCTATGTGAATGAATAATTACACAAATTTCAGCACTTGCAGCCTGTTCTAGACAATTTAATGGTCAATTTTGTCATTCCAGTGTATGCCTGCTGTAACCCCAGTAGAACTGCTATACAGCTGCTACATCACACCCAGAATGATGGTTCTGCAGAAACTCAGTGTCCACACTGACAATTTTACCTCAGTACTTCTCAGTATATATAAGGCCCTTAAATGCACTCTCATTGTACCTACTGCACACAAGACAATCATTCTCCACCCTTACTCAGAAGTCCCACTGCTACAGCTGAAAGAACCATTGGCATGATAAATGGATACAAGAGGACAAAACTATAGAGGAAGATGAGCTCTAGAAATATGGTAGTACATTAGAATTTTAATACTGTGTAATGGCAACCTTTTCTGAATCAGAGTAGACCACTGAGTCAGGCACGGTTGCACACATTATAATCCCAGCACTCTTCAAGGCTGAGGCTGGAGGACTGCAGATTTAAACCCCACCTGGACAAACTGGTGGTTAGCAGGACCATGTATCAAAATAAAACGTAAAAAAAGAAGTGAGATGTAGCTCAGTGTTTAAGGCCCAGGTTCAATCTCAAATACTGCAAAGATAAATGAATGAATGAGGGCTAGGGATTTAGCCCAGTGGTTCCACTGCCTGCCTCATAAGCACAAGGTCCCGAGTTTGATACCTGGTACCAAAAATATAAAAAATTAATAAATGAATGAATGAACAAATGGAAGAAAACAGACCATTAGTAGCCATAAACTAAGCCTACATGAGTAGTTTTCCTAACACCAGTATCTCCATTCCCTGAGTCTCAGATTCAAAAAATGTACTTTACCCTAATTTAAAAATGCCCTGCAACTAGTCTACAAACATGAAAACAGCCATCAATATATGAAAGAACTTACTTTCTCAGTACTTTCCTAAAAATGGGCACTTAAAGAATAAGGTCATATTAATTAACAGAACTGACATTTAAGGGCTAGGGTTACAATTCATTAGTAGAGTATATGCCTGACACATCCAAGGCCTGGGGAAAGGTATCAAGCACCCTTTAACACTCCCCTCAAAATATAAGGCCCTGGGGTAAATACCAAGCAACATCCTCAAAAACGCATTTAGTTTGATTTTTATTTCTTAGATGACCAGTAAAAGTAAACTTTTTAATATGTTAATTCTGAGCTAGAGTATATCTGTGTGGCAAAGTACTTGCCTACCATGCAGGAGGGCCTGAGTTCCACCCCCTGTACCGCAATCAGTCAATATGAAAAGAAAAGTCATTAAATAAAGCATAAGACAAAAAAACTACTAAGCAGGAGCAGAGGACTCAGAACATCTCCATTTTACAACCTATACATTTTACAACCTGATTCAGGGCTGAGAGTGTAGTTCAGTGGACAGCATTCACCTAGAATAGGTGAAGTCTTAGGGTTTAATGCCCAGTACCACAAACAAAAAAAACAAAACAAAAAATGGGTTGAGACAAGAATCATTAATGAAGCAGGAGTGGTGGCATGCACTTGTAATCCCAGCACTCACGAGGCTGAGGCAGGAGGATTGCTGTGAGTGAGGCCTGCCTGAGCTATATAGTTGAGTTTAAGTCCAGCCTAAACTACACAGCAAGACCCAGTTTCAAAACAAAAAGAATCATTAATGAATGCTAACTCTAAAAGGGAATATTGTATAAGGAACAAGCTGTTTACCTGCGATTTTAAAATATCTCCCCAAAGACTATTAGTTGCTAGAAAACACATAACAGTAAATTAAAGGAAGTAGACAAAATCCAGATTGAATAATGAAAATCAACAGATTCAATGAGCCACACACAGACAGCTTAAGCCCCCCCATTTATGATGCTCCAGAAATATTCAGTGTTATCATTTACAGTTTACCCATCAGAGATCTACAACCTGAATCTAATCATGAAAAATCAAACACAAGTTGAACATTTTATACAAAAACTACTCTGTAATGGCCAGGGATTTAGCTCAGTGGTTCCGTCACCTGCCTCACAAGCACAAGGTCCCAAGTTCAATCCCCAGTACCAAAACAAAAGCAAACAAACAAAACCACTCTGTATTTGTTTGAAATTTCCAATATTAGGGAAGACAAAGAAAGATTTCAGGTTGTTCAAGACTAAAGGAAAATTTTAAAATGCCAATTAAGATATTGAAAGCCTAGCCCTTCCTCTCTCTCTACTTCCCAAATGCCACAAAGTGAGTGGTAACCTTGCCACCCACATTCGACAGGATGTACACAGCCACTACAGGCCCCAAGTAAAAGGAGGAAGTGAAGTGGAGAGGGACTGTAACCTCTGAAACAGCCTTACTATGTTTTCAAATATCTTATGCAGACATTCCATCAGATGCAAAGAAAAGATAACTCAGAATGGGATTACGGTGGCTAA